TATTATTACATTAGAACACATGTGGCAAGAATAAATCTTGAAATATTTATTAATGCTGTATCAATGAGCTACCTTAAACACAAATTATATAGGCATTGTGTATTACAATTATATCAATACCTTTCCTCCATAACCATTCTTGTGTAATATATCTTTAATAGCTGCTATTCTATTGTCCATCATGTCTGAAGGGGCTACAACATGACAACCTAGAAGAGAATTCATGGGTGAGCTATACACAATTGTGGGTAAATAACAACTGACAACTACTGGATATGCGCTTGATCCTCTGAATGAACATAGCTTGCTCAGCAACAGTTTTTTTTTTCACTGCTAAATTTACAGATAACCCACAAGCTATTGGACAGAAATTATGATTATCACAAAAGATAAATGTGTCAGAGCAAATGGAGGAATTGTGGGTTGTGTCGGTATGTTTGAATGCAGAAAATGGAGCTATGTTATTGGTGGAAACATGGTAATGAGTTCCCAGTTGATGTTATCAACTCAGATACAAATCACCCTGTTATACACTCCCTCTAATGCTGCACCACAATTTCTTTAGAAACTTAACCCCCTTTTACATAAAAAAATAGTTTCTTCAACAAATTAAATCACCTCAAAGAGGAAAATATTCCATTTCTATTTTCATACCTGCCTTGGCATAGGACAAAGATATTTCAGCAATCCTTTTGATACTTGCTGCATTGTTGATGGAACCATCCTCATTTAGGATACCTGTGGGTAAGACTTTCAGTTAAGAATTTGACTCTGCCTTATGTTATTGAGGAAAGGGAAAATTAATCTTGGTACCTATAGTCAGTTAATATGCATATATATCCATTTACATATGCTTATATGTGTGCAAACAAACAAATTTTTCAAATAAACATAAAGTGTTTTAAAATCCCAACTGGTAGGAGGCAGACCAGTTGGCTAATTACACAGCCCAGCTGATGAGTTGAACTTAAGGAAACTGCAAACAAATCCAAGGAATAGCAGGGAGGAGGACTTGAACCTGGGACTATCAGATTTACAAGTCCAGTGCCCTAACCACTCACCCATGCCACCTCCTTAATATACTAATGCACTGAAGTGCCATTGAGTTCTTCTGAAACAAATTAGTCTAATCTGTTTGGAAAGGTGTATCTATAACAGGTATACCTGGTACAAAAGGTGTGTCTAAGTAACTAAATTTCAAAGTTCTCTTTCACTGATACTGGCTACTATCAAGCTTTTAATCAAATTGGTAAATTTAATTACAACCTCATACACTTTTAAACTGTAAGTGGTATATTGATTTAATATTCAAAACTTAAAATTGGTGATTAACAAATTAAAGGTGTTAAAGAAGGTAAATGAAAAAATCAATCAAGGCATTACTGTACCTAAGCAGCCCAAAAATTAACTTAGTACCCAATGCACCTTAGACTGTAATTTTGTATATATGAATTATTCATTATATTTTATCTTTTTAATACGGTATATTTTATAGTTTTTAGTCTTTTTTTATCTTAGGGCTACTGTTAAGTGTTTTTACCCTCTCTAAGGAAAGCCTATTATTATTATTATTATTATTGATTTGAAGTCTTAAAAGGTTTAGTTCATGAGAACAAAAAAATTTAATGAAAACTGCAGAGGATATCACATACCACAGTGGCCATGAGTTGCATATGGACAAATACAAACATCGCAGCAGATCAGTAGGTCAGGAAACAAGGATGATATCTTCTTTATTGCTAAGATCGCAGGGTTATCTTCACTGTCTGCATTACAAGCATCATCTGTCTACACAAGGATATATGTACACACTGGATATGAATAATAATAATAATTTATTTACTTCTATAGCGCCCTTTAACATTTATATGAGCAAAAGCGCTTTACAATTAGTGTCTTCCACCCATCCAACCCCAGGGGAGGACATCCACCACACTGTAATCTCATGCGTGGGAAATTAACGTCTCCTACCCCAACCGTGCAGGAGACGGGGCCTACAGTTTTACATCCTATCCGAGAAGACGAAGCAATGTGAGTGAAGCGTCTTGCTTAAGGACACAACGTCATGCCCCAGCCAGGACTTGAACCCGGGCCGTCCGACCCAGAGTCCAGCACACTGACCACTGGACTACTCCGCCTCACTAGAATACATAGGGGTTTATTTGTTAAAGTTATTATAACCTGCCAGCAATCTCCATTATTGCTTTAACCCTTTGACCCCTTAGAGTGACTAGTATCTAATTTCTCCCAACAATATCACCCCTAAATCACACATTAAGGTCATGAGAATAAAGTAAATGATCACCAACTAAAAAGGGTCTTGATTGTTAAACAAATTCTCCTTGTCAGCACCTTAAGAAATGTATAGGGAACAGTATGGAGAATATGCATACTGATAATAGGTGTAAAGGGTTAAAATATGAAATAAGGTGTCCAGAAGGAAGCAGACAACATATTTACAAACTAAGAAAAAATAAGTTGAATAAAATGTATTCCTATAAGTTGATTTCCTTTCCCAATTAACTTGGAATTATGAGTTGGTATTAAGTTATCTTATACTACTGCATTGCTTAACTCCACCTGGAAAATAATTGAATTGGAAAGGGTATATCACTTGATCCAAACCTAAACCATGTAAAACATTTCATCCAGTGAGACTATTAGCAAAATTAAGGGTTGTTGTAATGATCCTTAAGACCTGCTGCAAAGATTTTATCTCCTTCCAAGTCACAAAATGTTGTTATCTGATTTAAAATACATTGCTAACAATAAGTGATTGTACCTTATTTAGCCTTGAGAGAACTCCAAACAGCAAAACAGACTCGAGTCCTTTCTTCACCAAGGGTGAAACTATCTTTTCTAAATTGTTTATCCCCATCCTTTGAACAAAGTTGAAGAATCATTAACTCATAAAGAGCTAGACACATTCTTGACGTTTCCCCAATCTTTGGGGTGGGGTGTGGAAATCAAATATTTTTCCCATTCTGCTATATGACCTCTCCCTCTTTTCCTGCCGGCCTTCCGATCTTAACCAGGCAAATATGCAGATTTTGATGAAATGATGAGTGTATATTTTCATTTCCTCAAGTGTGCAACCCTCATGAAATTTTCATTTCAAGCCTTCTCTCAGGGTTTCAAAAGGGGTGATGGCTTTTATGGCTAACTGATAAAATTTTGGCCTTTTTACAGTTACAGTTAACCCAAAATGACAGAAAATGACACACTGTAGAAAGGAAATTTTTACAATTAACTTTTTTCCTACCCAACAGCTAAATTTTTCTGGCTGTTTTATGGCTAACAGTTAACCCCATTGAGACTCTCTTCCCTCAACCCCCATCACCCTTCCTGCCTCCTATTCTCCCAGACTTCTGCCCCTAGTCCCTCTCTACAGCTTTGTCCATTGTGCAAGTACAAGTAACCATTAATCCTAGTGTTTCAAAGATAATGTTCTAGGCATGATAGACCTAGCATTGAAACATTAGCTTATGACTGATTTGGGATTATTTCTCTTTAAATTATACTGGCAAAAAATTTTTCAGGAAATGTCATAGCTTCATAACCTGCAGGTTGATATTTCTTTGATGATAAAGTCATGTACCTGTACTGTCCGGGTAGGCTTGAAACTTCCTCCAATGCATCTGCTTCATCTCTACAAAGATAGCAAGTTTTTTTAAATCCCTAAGATCAGAAGATTTGCTCAACCTCCAATTAAAAACATCCACAAACAGAGAAATAATTTATCGCAATCGATTCATATTTCTCCCATTATTTCAATCCAAGGCTATGGAGCCCAGTTAGTGCCACCTCGTATTTCTCATCAATTTTTTTCCATGACTTCCACTTTTTTCACGACTTCAACCTTTTTTTCACTACTTCATATTTTTTTTTATAACTTCAATTTCTTTTTTGGTGACTTAACCCATTGACTCCTACGTGTAACACGTGCCTACCCAAAAGTTAAAATTTTGGAGAAACCGGAAAAGTAAACACAATGCGCAGTAAAGTTTGACAAATCTTTTTTTCCCAAAAACAAGCTCACGTGAAAGAAGACCATTTAAATAACTAACTATCAACGAGGAAAGCAATAGATGCATATTAAGTTTTTACTCTAAAATCAAGATAAAAGATAAAAATCAGTAAATTTTTGCGCACGTGTGCAAAAAAAGTATGCGGATCGGATTTCAAAGTGAATATGCAAATTCATCAGTGTGTGGAGAGATCTCATGTTACATGGAAATTATAAATGAGGAGAAAGACAAAACTGACCAAGGAACGTTTCGGGAAGAAAGCTTTATTCAAAACAGTTCTTGATTTTCTGTTAGGACCGAAAAACGTACGAATTTCTTACGTGTGCGAAACCCACGAAGTAGAATTCATCATGCTTAGATCGATGTTTACTTGACTTCACGGCTAGAATATTGCGCAGCGTTGTGTTGAAAATACTGAAAGTTCTACGTTTTAACACAAAATCTTCTATTAAACAATACTTTTTGGACATCTCATTACTCAAACGTGATATTTACCGTGCCTTTGAATCTTTATAATGTCTCTAGGCCTCGCTTGAAGTCCAATAGTTTGGTTTTCGCTTTACGACCCTAATTCGCATCGCTTTAGAGAATTGTAGTGTTGTCGACTCGAAAGCTTATTTTGTCGCCTTTAAGACCATGATGTCCATTATCTTTCGAGCAGATTATTCTATAGCATTTTTCCTTTTCATTTAGTGTTCCAGAAGGTCTAAAATGGTGGGAAAGGAACAGAAAATCCGACTTGAAAATATTGAAAGTCGGCCGCGCGTACGCCATTTCTTTGTAGTTGATCATTTCTTGTGAACGCATAAAATGACGCCTCTGTACTACCCCCTAAAGTTATCAAAATAACTGCGCAAAAAACGGATTCTGATTGGTTTATAGATCCTCTAACAACAGAGGAAGTTTGGAGACAAAATTCTGCTTAGTAGGGGAGATAGGGGGGAAAGCGTCTCTCGCGCAAGTCCCCCACGCGGCACGGGCGGTTACGGGCGGTTCAGGTGTCAATGGGTTAAACTTTTTTTCATGACTTCAACTTTTTTTCAAGACTTCAACTTTCCCACATGACTTCAACTTTTTCTCATGACTTCAACATTCTGGCACGACTTTAACTTTCCAGCATGACATGAACATTCTGGCACAACTTTAATTTCTCAGAATGACTTTCTCTGGTCTGTTATTCAACAGTGCCCATAAATGTTTACCTTAAGATTGAATATCATCTTGTCCAAATTTTGTGGACAATAGGTGGAACCATAGTTAGTAGACTAACTATGGTGGAACATAAACAATCAAAATTTTTTTGTTTTAACACACAAGGCCATAGTAAAGCAGTTTTGTGATGGTTAAAAAAGAAATGAAGCCAAAGAGATTATTCTAGTCAGTAGGAATAGGTTTAACTAGAAAATGAGCCAATCATGTAGATGTGGACGAGTGAGTTGGCCATGTCTGAATTTACCTCTTCTCAGTACATTGGCAATACAGGGACACCTCCATGTAAACAGGCCCTTAGACTGGTGGGGACCCCAGGTAGGTGAGGTAACCTGTCTAGATATGGTCAAAACATAAAACGCGTTTACATGCAATCTTACAACCCTGGGGTGCTGGGGTGAGGTTTCTTGAGGTTGTTGTTGTGCTTGCAATTAAGGAGTTTGAGCAGAGGTGTCCCAAGCTCAAGAAGGAGACAAAAGATTAATTCTCAGACACATTTGTATTTATTCATAAAAGCGTCATGCATTGTGTTACACGGCATTAGGTTATGCAAGGAACCATTGACTTAATATGTTATACTGAATAGTTCGAGAAACGAAATACCGTAGAGTTCTGATAGTAGCAACCCTCGTTAATTTCAGAATTAGCAGCCTTTAGGGGTTGCTACTTTCGGGGGGTCATTACTTTCAGGGGGTTGTTACTTTTGGGGAACAAAAATGGTTTACAAATAGAGCTGGTGTGAACTTTTTTTTCTGAAATAAAAATGAACAACATAAAATTGTGATTGTATAGATTGTGTTTCATAAAAAGAAGGTAACAATGATAAATACCACAATATGGAACTAAAATAAATCAATATCAACACCAATAAACAAATGAGACAAAATTTGTTTATCCAGTTATCACGGTCTTGCTATTTTCAGGGGGGGGTCACTACTTTTGGGAGGTTGCTACTTTCAGGGGTTTGCTACTTTTAGTGGGATTTACAAGCGGCCACAAAAAATTGGCATTAATTTTAGGGAGGACGCTACTTACAGGTAGTCATTACTATCGGAACTTTTATGGTATGGTCAATTTAGGATGCTAAATATTCCAAAATGTTAACATTTTACACTCCTTGTGTGTCCATTGTGGTTTCTGGTGATTTCTGCCATGAGACAGCTAGGATATGTACAAAGTTTTAAATGTTTTGCTTTCGAGCTTTTTGCCATGAATGCGACCCCGGCTAGGTGGGTTACCCCACCTTGAGACATTTACATGGCAAATTGTCACCCCGGCTGACAGGGTTACCCTACCTGGCAGACTGGACAACCCACCTAGGCAGGTCACCCTGCCTATCATGTAAACATGATCAAGATAAAATAAGAAACTATATGGACAGGCGGGTTACCCCACCTAGGCGGGTTACCTCACGTAGTTACGTCGGAATGTTGAAGTCGTGAAAAAAAGTTGAGGTCGTGAAAAAAAGTTGAAGTCGTGAAAAAAAGTTGAGGTCGAGAAAAAAAGTTGAAGTCGTGAAAAAAAGTTGAGGTCGTGGAAAAAAAGTTGATGAGAAATACCAAATGGCACTAACTGGGCTCCGTACAAGGCCTCTTTCTCAAACCACGGTTCCTCCTATCCGCACGCACGTATATTTGTATTTTCGTATTACTCACGTGATGAACAAAGGGTAGAGCAAGTTCTTTGATGTTATTTCCGTGTTTGTGCTTTGCCAACTCCTTGTGGTAGTGTGATTGTAACCACTGTGTAAGGCTCCCTGAGAGGCCATTTTGACGCAAATATTCAACATTTAACTGTGCCTTATTACTTCAATTCAGCGGCTGAGCTGAAGTGGATGAGTGACTATCTCACTTAACATTTACGTAATTTCACCTTCACTGAATTTCGTCAATTTCATCTATATTACGGCTTAAAAATAAACAAAATCCATTGAGTAAAGGGTCCAATTCAATTTTACTAAATTTTTTACGTAAATTTTCCAGAGACGCGATGGGTTTACGATAAATTGTATTTTGGAGACGCTACATTTCTTGTTACACGACAACAATGAATAATGAAGTTTTCTCCAAGATCGCAGGCGCAAATTTTACAAAGTTCTTCGATTGCTCTTTGCAGGTTTGTTTTACGATAAATTTATCAGCAAGACGACAATTTTTTGGTCTCTGTGAGATACTGGAACATAGCTAGCCAAACATTGAGAGTGAATGATATATTTCCCAAGAGTCATTTGAGTAAGTATGAATTACTACCATGTCGAATCATGACCAAATTGGAACAACGTCTGCCTAGTAGTGTGTGCAAGTTTCAACTCCATCTTTCGTTATTGTATGTAATAATAAAAATAAATAAACCTATTATTTCGCTAATTTTTCTACAATAAGTTTTATTTGGAGGGTATATACCTTATATACCACTTAAGCAAAGCAAAATTCAGAGCCGTGAATTGGAAACTTTAGAATGCCAGTTTGTTTGTTCAAATACATTAACTATTTTGAACCCAGAAATAATTGCAAACTAAATTATGTTGTCTGATCGTTCATTTGATGATAGCCCTGAAAAGAACCGCTGTCAGTTTTGCTTTGTTACTTTAGTCAGCTAACATGCCTGATATGTGCTATCCTATTGCATTTAAAGGACTGTT